AGCCTGGAGGAATGCGGAGCCCCTCTAAACCTGGGCTCTCGCCTTTTCACAAATGTGGGGCGTGTGGGTGATCACGTGACTGGAAAAAAATAATCGAAAGAGATGATTTAGCTGAAGAATGGTGGCCTAGCGACGCTAGTCACCTTTAATTAAGCAAAGCCACAGAGAGCGGCCAGCCGTTTTCCAGGAGATACAGAGAACTCTGGAAACTTGAAATTCAGAGTCTTGGGCCCCACCCTCAGTTTCCAATTCAGTCGGTCTGGGTTGAGGCTCATGAACTTGCATTTCTCACAAGCCACCGGTGAGAACCCGCTTATGCGTTTGATGGACCCCTAAAGAGTTTAGATTGGACTTGGATCTCATTGGATGAGGACTGGAGGATTCCCCCCCCGCCCCCCCCCCCCCCCCCCCCCGGAGACATTGTATTCTCACCTGGTTGGAATGTGATGACAAAGATTTTTCCTCCCTCAAAAAGTAAATGACTCTAATGCTAAAGGCAACTCAGAGAAGGAAATGGTCACAGTTTGAAGCAGAGACCGTGTCAGTGATGCCCATCCAGAGGCCAGACGGTTAACCTGGGTTCTTCCATGTCTCAAGAGATGCCATGTTGATCTCTAACATGCAGTCTTTTCTGTATATCAACCATGAACTCCTCATGCACCAGTTTTGAGTATGAACACAGGATTTAGGGCCTCAAGAAGTACATAGTCTTTGTACTTAGAGGTGGGGCGAAATTATTGTAAACCACAATGGTCTGAGAAGATGATAAAGTGTGGCGTGGCGTCAGGCAGAATCTGAAGAATAGGCCAAGAGTTGGGTGGAGACTATCCTTTCCTAAGAGACACGCAAGGGCGGGAGACAATGGGCTGGATCCTGAGGTCAGGTTGGGGAGGAGCTGGGAAGCTGTGACTAGCCTGTAGAGGATTTTCTGAATGTCAGACCAAGAACTCTGAATATGACCATTGAAGAACCTGTGAGAGCTCGTTAAGGCTTGCCAGGGTGGTTTTGTTCTTTGTTTAATTTTGAGACAAGATCTTGCCCTGACCCCAAGCTAGTCCTCCAACTCATGATCCCGATCCCACAGCCTCAACCTCCCAAGTGCTGAGACTGCATACGAGGGCCGCCACAACCACCCAGCACTTCTTGGTTTTGAGCGTGAGAATGGCAGAATGTTCTGGAGTTGAGGAAAGGTGAAGAATTCTGGAGCAGGTTATAAAATGTATTAGAGTAAGCAAGGTGGAGATGTTGACATTGAATGGAGGGGCTATTGCAGATGTTAAGAAAGAGGAGCTTCTGTGAAGTTAACCTCAGTAAGCAGGCCAATCAGCTACTTTCGTACAGATAGGGAGAGACTTCAGCACTCACAGAGCAGATGTTGTGGAATATTAAAGATGTGTTACATGTGTTTATGCTGTGAAACATTTGTTTAATGGTGCAAAGATGTGCTGCATTCTTTCATGTTGCATTTGTTTAACTCTGTGAAGCTGTGTTACTGTGCCTGTCTAAAACACCTGATTGGTCTAATAAAGAGCTGAATGGTCAATAGCAAGGCAGGAGAAAGGATAGGCGGGGCTGGCAGGCAGAGAGGATAAGTAAGAGAGAGAACAAGAGAGATCATGGGCGAAGGGGAGCAGAAGGAGAAGGAGAGGACTCCAGGGACCAGCCACTCAGCCATAGAGCAAGCCACAGAGTAAAAAGTAAAGAAAGGTATACAGAAAGGTAAAAGCCCAGAGACAAAAGCTAGATGGGATAATTTAAGTTAAGAAAAGCTGGCTAGAAACAAGCCAAGCTAAGGCCAGGCATTCATAAATAAGAATAAGACTCTGTGTATTTATTTGGGAGCTGGGTGGTGGGTTCCCAAAGAGTAAGTGAGAGAGAGAGAGAGAGAGAGAGAGAGAGAGAGAGAGAGAGAGAGAGAGAGAAAAGCACATAGGTAGGCTGGGTAGAGTGAAATCCACTGCTGGTAGAATGTAAACACCAAGATGGAAGTGGTAAGATTGTAGTGCTAAGTTCACTGGCTGCTGGCCGATGAGCTCTCTGGAGGATCTGGGGCTGTGACAGCTGATGCCACCGTGAGACCCGAACGCAAAGAAGGAGTTCTAAGGCAGTGCTCCTGTCTTGCCAGTGGCTGAAGCCAGTCTCTGTCATGTCCGTCTGCACTGTGCCATCTCACAATCACCACACAAACCTCTCAGGAGAGAGGCTCACCTGCAGAATGTCGGACATTTGTTTGTAGGGTCTGACGTCAGAGTCACATAGATAACATGGCAACATGTCAATTTCCTGCATCTTCCGCTGTGAGAATAGTGAAAACAAAACAAAAACCAACCAACCAAACAAACAAAAAAACTATGAGGCCAGATCGTGGGGAGAAAATGCTTCCTGGCTTTTGTTTTGTTTTAGATTTCCTTTTCTAAAAACACATATTTATTTAACACATATGTGTGTGCACATGGGCATTTGTGTGCCATGGTGCAGGTGTGGAGGTCAGAGGACAATTTGGTGACATTGGTTCCACCATGTGGCTACTGGGCGTTGAACTCAGAATGTCAGGCTTGGCAGCAAGTGCCTTTACCCACTGAGCCCTCTTACTAGACTCCAAGACACTTTCTATAATAAGGCAAGAGAGTTCTTTCTTTGATGCAATAATAAAAATGGCATTGAAGAACTGCTAACCATTGCCATCATCACTGTTATGATTATAATTATTATTTGAGACATGACCTTACTATGTAGCTCAGGTCAATGTTTGGCTTTTGATCCTCCTGCCTCAGCCTCCCAAAGGCTGAGATTATAGGTGTGTGACACTACAGCCAACTCTAACCAATTTTTGGGAAAAAAAAATTGGTATTGTGAGGGGGCTGAATTTTTTGTTGCTGTTATTGTTGTTATTCTGTTTTAAACTGTATTTTACAACCAGCTCTTCTGTTTAAAAGTTGAAATGAGAATGAAAAAAATGCTTGGAAATGTTTTCAATTTTTTTTTTTTAATTACGGTACTAGAGCTTGAAAGTAAGGCCTCCCCTCAGCCAGGGAAGCCCCTATCACAGAGCCATACCCCAGCCCTCTTTTAAATTTTTCACTTTGAGACAGGGTCTCATTGCTTTTTCTCATAGTTCAGCCTAGCCTTGCCCTCTACAGGGCAGCCCTTGAATTTGTAATGCCCTCCCTAGTCTCCCAGCAGGGCTGGCCTTGTGTTTTGTTTTCCTTTATAGGATCTTGGTATAGACTGGGGATAGCCTCAGACTCTCCATCCTTCTTCAGTCTAGGAAAACCTGCAACTTAAAAAATAGCCGTAAGAAATTGTTTATATCAAAAGGAGACAAAAACGCCTTTAATCCCAGCACTCGGGAGGCAGAGCCAGGCGGATCTCTGTGAGTTCGAGGCCAGCCTGGGCTACCAAGTGAGTTGCAGGAAAAGGCTCAAAGCTACACAGAGAAACCCTGTCTCGAAAAACCAAAAAAAAAAAAAAAAAAAGGAGACAAAAGTATGCTTGTGTCAAAATTTTAAGACTTTAACATCTGTTCACTTTAAAGATAATTTAAGGACTGGAGAGATGGCTAAGCAGTTAAGGACACAGCTCTTACAGAGGACCCAGGCTCAGTGCCTAGCACCTACATTGCAGCTAAGAACATTCTGTAGCTCCAGTTCCTAGGGATCTGACGCCCTCTTCTGACTTTCTCAGGCACTACACACATGTGGTGTATAGGCTTACATGCAGACAAAACACCCATACACGTAAGATAAACATAAACAAAACTTTTAGAAACATGATTTGATTTTCCAATAAGATAGCATTATTGGTCCTTTGAACGAGTCTATCCAAAACAGTGGCTTATTGATACCTTTAAGCATGAGACATGAAAAAAATGTTAAAAGACAACCAAGGCTTTTTCAAAGGATGTGCAGACTTGGGGTTGTTAATGTTTTCTAGTTTGTCCCCTGTTTCAGAAACAGAAGGATTGCAAGAAGAAACCAGAGCTAAACTTTACTGCAATGGAGACTTCTCTATCCAAAAAGGGAAACTGTTACAGCTCCACATCAGATTAGAAGAAAACAGAATCAGAAATGAAAGAAACAGTTGGTATTTCTGCTCTACAAAACAAAAGTGGGGGTTGAGCTACTGGGAGAAAGAAAATGGCAGAAGTGGATTCCCATTATTATTGTTTTACAGACAGGGAAACTTAGGCACAGTTTTAGTGCAAGAACAGTGCCTAATTCCACTTCCTGCTTCTTGGGGGGTCTCTGCCTATTGCTTTTCTTATTATATACATTTGTTTGTCTACATATACAATATGGTTTTTGATGAAATCCTTTCCCCCTTCACTAAAGCCTATAATTTTGGACAACTTTCAAAATTTTTGTAAATGTTAGATCAGTAAAGCCTTCCAGCGATCTTCCAATCTTTCCTCCCTCCCCGCTTTGCTTCGAGGATAAAGTTGCAAACAAATCAAAGTTGGAGAGACTGTCTAAACTTGAATTTGAGTGAATTAAAAAAAAAAAACATCTACCATATGATGATGACTTCCCCCACTTCATAGTTTAAGAAAGTGAGAGCCCCAGTAACTCCGAGAAACTAATTCCCAAGGCAGCCTGTGAATGAACAGGCAGGGAGAGCAGCGTTGGTTGCCAGCCCTATCCTTTGATTGTTCATCCCATTGCCTTGAGTCAATTTTCTGACTTACATTCACCACTCAGTATATGTTGGATTATCTGTTGATTATTGGTCACTTTCCTTTAGAACAGGAACTTCTTTATTCTTATTTTATTATTCCAGCAGAGTCTTATGCTTACAGACTGGCCTCCTACTCTATATCTGAGGATGATCGGGAACTTCTAGTCCTCCTGCCTCCACCTCCTGAGTGCTGAAATTACAAGCCTGGGCTACTGCACTCATTAGTGCTGAGGTATGAGGATCAAATCCTGGACTTCTTGTATGCTTGGCAAGCACTCTACCAAATGAGCTACATCCCTAGCCCCTGGAATGGGAACTTTTTCCCCCAGGGGAGAGCACAAACGCAGTCCCCCACTGCAACAAATTAGACAAGTTCCCACATTGGGGGAAACCGAAGAGGTCAGCACATCTGGAGTGCAATGGATAAGCCTCACCCCGGGAAAACCACCTTCTTGATCCTGGTATCTCCCTTGCCAGGTAGGTATGAATAGAAACTTCTTGACAGCTGTGACTTGGCCTAATTCTTTACTGCTAAGCCTAGTATTGCTGGGAGTGTAGTAGCCATTCTGTTATTTCGTTGCAAAATTGAATGCATTAAATTCTTACAGGTATCCTTTCTCCTTCTAGGAATAATTGCCACTTTCTATCCTCTGAGTCTCAAAGGAAATAAATGGTAGGGCTGGATTCACCTGGGGCATGCTTTCCCCAGCACAGAAGCCCATCTCTTGCTTAGTAGACTGATAGTGTGGACTGTAAGTTTCAACATGTTTGCTTCTGCTGAGCACAGACTCCCACCCTGGAGTCACCATTTAGCAGTCATTACAAAGATCTAGGGACCTGGATCCATCCCACTTTGCGTCCAGACTCTAGTTCCCATTATCATTTCAAGGCTAGTCCTTCAAGATTCGTGTTGTCTTCTATGTGTGTGACTGGGGTGTCATCTGAAGGGTGCTTGGGAGGTGAGCCTCCATATATCTAGAAAGATCTGAGGCAAGCTTTCAAAACCATCTGTAGCTTCCTGTTGACTGTAAAGCCAAGTTATCTTGGACTGCTTGGGCTTTGGCAGAAGCAGGTGGCCTTGGCTTTATTTCTCCAGCCTGACTCAATATCCACTCCAGCGGATGGATGAGAGCTTGTATATTTTGAAAGAAGCTTCTCTAGTTACTGTTGGAACATGGTCCATGAATGCAGCTGTGTGAGAAGTCTGAGGACTTGTGAGATAACTCCAAGGTGCCTGTCCTGTCCTGGATCTTGATCTGTAGACCGCCTGGACCTGCCTCCCGAGTGCTGAGATTAAAGGCATGCAACACCGCAACTGGGTGAGGCGAGTCTTTTAACCTCTGTGTTCTCCACAAGGGGGGTTATTCCTGGAATGTGCTTTCATGCCCCTCCCAGGTGTCCTGCAGAGGAGCAGGTTTGCTTCAGATTACCCTTCATCTTACTTTTGTTTTTTAAAAATGTTCCTAGCATGAGTTGTCCTCATGACTGTATAGACCCTAACTTCATGTGAACCTTGTTCAAGACCGTGCTTAACCCTCAGAATACCCTCAGGATATAAATTGTCTGATACTCCGAATAAAGTTGGCTTTTACTATATGAGACTAACCACCTCATTTTTAGGCTCCACTCTCATAGGTTCACACTACCAACTAGAGCGGTTGCAGTTACCAAGAAATACAAATCAACACACCCACTAGGTTGGCAAAATGGTTAATATTTAACAAGTGTGATTGAGTCAGGAATGCTGGGGAAGGAACACTTGGCAAGCATTTCAGGCTGGCCATCTTTAAGGTAAAGGTGCACATTTTTTGTTTGTTTGTTTGTTTGTTTTGTTTTTCGAGACAGGGTTTCTCTGTGTAGTTTTGGTGCCTGTCCTAGATCTCGCTCTCTAGACCCGGCTGGCCTCGAAGTCGCAGAAATCCACCTGGCTCTGCCTCCCGAGTGTTGGGATTAAAGGTGCGCGCCACCACCTCCCGGCTAAAATGCACATTTCTGGTGTTAAATAATCCCACATCTACTAGGGGCTTCCTGTAAAGCAGCCATATACAAGGGCACACGTACAAGAATATTCATCCCATGGGAAAACTGGAAACAGCCAGTGTCCTGCTGTGGCAAAATGGCTAAAGACATTGTGGTATACAGCATTGATAAATACAATGTGACATCATTTGTGTGCAATTATAAACACACAAAGTAATATTACATACTATAAATTAGGATTAGGTACAGAGTAAAAGTATAAAAGACAAACAGAAAGATTACAACATTTCAGAGTGGCAATTACCTCTGAGAAGTTGGGGAAGAAGATAGAAAATGCAAAGGTAGACAGGGAGTATCAAATATATAACATTTTATTTTCTTCTTTCTTTTCTTGAGTCAAGAAAAGACTTTGTAGGCCAGGCTGCCTTCAAACACATGGCAATCCTTCTGCCTCAGCCTCTCAAGTGCTGGGATTACAAATATGAATCACTACTCCTGGCTTTTATTTTCTTTAGTTGCTTGTTGGCTTGCTCACCTGGCTCTCTCTTGCTCTCCTCAACCCCTATCATTTTCTATTTCCTCTCTCTCTATGTCTCTCTTAGGTATTGTGGTTTGAACCCACATATGTGCCATTGAGCATCATCCTTGTTAATATTCTGATCTGCCCCTTGGAAACCAATGTTAGTATTCTGACCTGCTCCTTGGCGCTGCCCTGCATCCTGACATAAAAACCTCATTTTAAGGAAAGATTCCTCCCCTTCCTCTCTCTCTTCCACTTTTCCTCCCACGAGGTGTGCACCCCTTGACCCCACCTCTTCCTCTCACTTCTCTCCTTCTTTCTTATCTTCTCTTTGTCTCTCTATTATAATAAACCATTTTCACAAGGATGCAGTGTTTAGACTGTGAATGTCCACCTGCCACCCCACCACCATGTCCGCATGGTATGGTCACCTGCCAGCCCACCACTGCATCTGCCCAGCATGCCAGCATGTTTCCCTGCACACATGGGATAGCCTCAGGGTCCCCTGTGCAAAGTCATAACAACTCTGATCCTCTTAAATTAATAACAATAACAATGACAACAAACCCTGAAGCAAATAAGCAGTTGTATTCAGGCTGCACAGACACAGGGTGATAGTTAATCTTCATTACAACTTTACTGACTTTGGAATCACCTAAGAGACATATGTTAATCTTGCCCATATTAGGCAAGAATAAGATCACTACCACAATTTTTTTGAACCAAATTTGAAACAAGCTTTATTAAATACTGGCCAGGATGATGGACACTGGCTAGGTCCATACCTGGAATTCCCAGAGTATGGCTCTGAATTATGTTAGTCAGGAGCTTATAAAGGCAAAACTGACAAGGGTGTGAACTTCCTGCCTTCATCCAATCAGAGGCAAGCACGCATCCTGACGTACTTCCTGCCTGTGTAACTCCTGCCTATGTGTGATCAAGCACATCCTGTGCAGTTGGGGCAACCAACCTTGGTTACAGAAGTGAAAACATGTGGTGTGTTACATGAACAGCCCCCAGCATTCCAGGAAATTGTCTGTCCTTGGGCAAGTGAGGCTTACAGGTTAGAGACATTTCTATTTTATAGATCTCTTAAGCACAGTAATTTAAACTTAAAACATAGCTGCAGTCCCCACACATACTTCTACACATGTTCTGTGAAAGCATTTTGACTTAGAGAAATTTAACGAAGGAGGAAAGTTCCACCTTGAGTGTGAGTGGCGCCGTTCCATGGGCTAGGGCCCCAAGCTAAATAAAAAGGAAAATAAGAGAAGGTATCAACACCAGCATCCATCTCTCTGCTTCCTGACCTCATTCTCCTGCCATCATGATGGACCGTTGCACACTCAAATTGTGAGCCAGAATAAGCCCTTCCTTCCTTAAGTTTGGTTGGATATTTTGTTACAACAAAGGGAAAAGTAATTAATGCACATAGGCCTTTGATATTTTCTCCTGGATCTTGTCCTCTATGTTTGACATGTTTTTTAAAACAGCGTCTTGTGCTTTTCTTTGGCTTTTTTTTTTTCAGTTTGTTTGTTTGGTTTTGTCTTACTATGGTTTTGCTTGTTTTTTAGTTTTCTGTTTTCTAATGAAAGAGAGAAAGAAAGGGTGTGGATTTGGGTTGAGGGGAAGGTGGGGGAGGATCAGGGAGAAGTTGGAGAGGGGAAACCATGATCAGATATAGTATATAAAAAAATCTATTTTCAATAAAAATTTAAAGTATAAATAAAAACGGAACAAGCATTTTGTGACTGTCTTTAAAATAGAAATTATGTCATAGGTTCTTGATTTACCATTTTTTTCATTCATACTTGTTTCATTTCCTCAATAAGACAAATCCATATTATTTAAAAACGAAACCCATTGCAATAGACAACAGTGACATAGTGGCAATGGAAATACGCAGACGCACACACATGTCTTTGTAGGGAGGGTGCTTGCTATTGGTTGAAGTTGTTGATTGATTGTGGCTTAGACCTCAAACTCGGCTATTCCATTCCTGATGACCAACTTCTCCATTTGGGGCATTGGTTAGTGAGTTCTGAACACCCTCTTAGGACTCAGCAAGGAATCAGCTTTTTACTTACTACAGGATGGACGATGGATCACACGGCCGGCTGGTCTGTTGTTGAAGCACACCTGGGCACACTGTCACAAAGCCCCTTTCATTGAAAAGCCATCTCGGGGACTTTTATAGCTAACAGGCTGCTAAGTCACAGTGGCTGTTTAGGGGTTAACTTCACATGTGGATCCAGCCAGCCTGGGGCCATTTGTGAAAGCCAACGGTGCACTGAGGCAGGTCTCAGCAAGAAAGGCCTGCTGCAGCACCAGTCACTGGCTTTTGTCAGACATAAATGCAAGTGTCACCGTACATTCCGTAGACCAAGTCAGACCTCCAGGTCCACCCCGCTCTCAACTCTTTCCTCTGGGTTGTAGATGCCATTAATACATTTTCAGTCACTTAGGTTCAAAACCTCCATCACCTTACATTCCTCAGAACTGTCCCTTAGTGTCTACTCGGTCACTAAGCCCCAGTGGCGTGCCTGAGTGAGCTAAGTGCTGCTGTCCTGTGTGGACCAGTCCTATTCTGCTTTAAATCTGACTGTTGTACAGATGGACAACTCCAGTAGCCAAACACACTGGTCCTGTTTTCCCTCTTTCCAATTTGTTTTACTTTGCTTCCTTCTCTGAATTCCTGTACCGAATATTTTCATTGGTATCCTTTGAGCCTTTAGCAAATGCCACCTTCATTGCTGTTTGTGTTTCTATTGTTCTCCTTGATCAGGAAAAAAAATGTTGATACCTTCAGTCACCAACTTTGCTTTTATTTCCCATCATAGTAAACTGAAAGAGGAGCTTCCAAGGGTCTAACACAGCAGTGAGGAAGCCATCACTGTTAAAATCCTTTAGACAGCAGTGAAAAAGCCATCACTGTTAAAAATCCTCCTGCTCTTCCATGGATAGACTTCCAAAGCTGGAAGTTCA